AAGAATTTTAATTTATAGTTTTTTTTTTTTTTTACTACATTTGGGTTTCAAATAAAGACAAATAATGACACAAAGTTCTAAAAAAGTAAAAAACATGAAACTAAGAAATAATCATTTTTTGCTTTAAGTGCTAAATAAGAGCTACTTAAGCTGCAGTTTTATATTTGTAAAATGTCTCTCTTTGACATTTGAAACATGACTGAATTTGAATAGACCTTGAACTAAGTATTCAAATTAGAAATACCCCTACTTTTTGTTCTTTCTAGTGCAGAGGATATTAAAAATATGATGATAGATATTAGCATTTGGTTTGGTCAATGTGAGAAGCAACAGTATCAATGAGACAAATTTTTTTTGTGAGCTACTTTATTGGTTATTAAAAACTCACAAAACGTCACAATTTTTTGTTTTAGAAATCTTTCTTTCTCATTGTATAACAAATTTAGTAGAATATAATGTTATTATACTCTTTTAAGAAATTCCATGAATGAAAGCAAAATTGATCTTTCATTATTTACGTCTATAGCAAAATGGGAACTTGTAAGCATTTTTAAGAGAAAAAATCTTTAGGAGAAAAAAGAAAAAATGTAATAGCTTTAATTTACATGAAATCTGGTTGCACTTTGTTAAAATCATGTACATGTTGATTTTTATCTAGTTTATCATTATTACTTTTTTGACAGTTCATGTTTTTAGTATTTGTAAAACTACAGTTAATTCTACTTTTCACTCAGTTCTTCATGAATTTAGCCTTGTACTAAAATTGGCTTAGATAATTATCTACAATTGATCTTACTGATAATGAAAATGATATATACTCATACTGGCTTATTTATTCATTGAAGTAATCAAAGTTAATACTAAAATATGAGATATAGAGTACACCAGCAGGCCATAAATGGAAGATGGCATAATGTAATGCTACATAGCATGCAACAAGTTTTAGAGTTTTCATTTCTCTTTTACATGTATCAAGAGCATTAGAATGGCAGATTCTAATATGACACAGGAAATGAAAAAGCACACTGTTTAGTGATTTTGAGAAAGTTTGCTCCTTGAAAATGGCTTGGTCCATTTTGTTCAAGGTCATGAATAAGCTGAAGGCCTCTGGCAAGCGATATCTCATTTATGGCCAAGAGAAAGAATCATTAATCTAAATCGTCAGATATTGTAAGGACAGCTGAATTCCTCCAGCAGGTTGGGAACATCATTAATCACAACTCAAGCAAAATGGGGCTAATTTCAAGCAACTCAAAGTGGCAGTTTGCTATCAGATATGTGGTACATGAGAACATTAAATAGTCCTACATAATGAGGAGGAAGAAGTTGGCATTCAGAAAGACCCAGGAGAACAGTGTGATCTGATTGAAATATTTACTGCACAAGCTCATTTTGAATCTTTGCCAGTGAGTAGCACTGACTACTTCCAGAAGTAGCTTTGTGTGGACTCGCAGATGTACTCACATAATGCACACAAAATTTATGTCATCTGTGATAATCCTTGGGATTATGAATAACAAATGCTATGTTAGGCCACCTAACTTCATCCTGTAAGGGTCAATGTTACTTTTACATTGTGGTCCTGAACATGGTAGTCAAACTCTAAATTGGTGACCCAGGTGAAGCCATATACATTTCAGCAGGACTCTGCTCTCCTCCTTCCCTCATGGTCCATATAACCCAAGAGTTGCTGGCCAAGAATTTGTCATGTCACTCCCAGCATGTGACTTTCTAGATCTCCTGATTTGAATTACCTGGATTACTATGTCTGGAGCATCAATCAGTGGCCATATAATAAGGACTGTCATCATAAACATAATGGTCAACATGAATGAGAACCATCTGACATTGACATGAAGTCAACTTGAAAGCAACATTTTTGTTTGTCCATAAAACTGAGGGTGGCTTTATTGAATAATGTTTTCTATTTTTCTAAGGTGAACATAGGGTTTTTTAAAAAATATACTGCTTTTTTATAGAATATCTATATATTTCTTTATATGTTCTCAATTACTTCATACATATTGTATATAACAAAGAAACTGTATTTTATGCTACAGGCTATGTGCTGTTTGGATGTGACAATTTTTTTCATTAGCTCTTATTAATTAGAATAAAAAGCCCTGTATTTAAGTTTAACTAGTATCATATTTTCCCTTCTGGTCCCAAAGTCTGGAATTTCATTTTATAAGGTCATATTGTTTTAGATTTGATTGTAAGTCAAAATTCATTTGCTTTCTATACACATACCAGTGACCATTAGGTAACTCTATCTGATGCTTAATTAACAATCAAGACTTTGTGTTTATTGCAATTTTCAACAAAGAGTAAAATCTAGTGTAATAAGTGTAATACACATTTTTAAAATATGCTAACTGTATGTCATATTCATTACAAGAAACCTTATTGAAATTACGAATATACCAGCATTGAGTTGTCCTTGTTTAGCTATCTTAGAGAAAGACAATGATTCTCTGGTTAGGCTTTCTGAAAATTAACATTCATTTTGGGCATTTCAAATTTCATTATTTTATTTGAATTCATGACCTCAAAAATCTACAAAAAATAAAATAAATATGAGAAAGTCTTAAAATTACTGCTTATTTTTAAACTTTGTTAAAATTCATTTGTTCAAATAAAATATAGAACATTATACATTTTTTAACCAAGTTTATCCCATGCAAGACAGTAAAGCCACTGAGACACTGAGGTTATTGGCTGTGGAAGAGTTAGAAACAAAAACTTGCTAAGGATTGAGAACAAAAGAAGAGTAATATCAGAAGAGTAGATAGTGATTAACATTGCATTTAAATTTTTGAAGATTAAAGTTAGTTGGAAAGCATGGATCTAAAAGGGAGTTCCACAAGTGAGAAGTGTGGGAAGAGAAACTTTTCAGATGGAATTTATGGTTACATTTATCTAATTCAACTGTAAATTGATGAGACCTCATCACCAGTTGAGTACTGTGCTTAAATTCAAAGAATCTAGCCAAAGAGTTCATCTAAACAATTACCATGAAAGTATTTATAGATATGGCAAAGGGATGCAGTGGGAAAATGGCTGAAGCTGAGAAGCCAGATCAGGACCAATAATATTGCTAATTCTACTTTGGATTTTATCAAGGAGCTCTAGATAAGTAGCAGGAGCACCGGACCATATGTGGCAACAATATTCTAAGCATAGACAAATGGTAGATTTATAGATATGTAAGATAGATTCTGGAGAGAAAAAAATTGTCTACATGGTTCCATTGCAGAATTATAACAAACTTTATTAGAAAAAACAACAATGCATTTTACATCTGCTTTTAATTATCAACTCAGAACTAAATTCTTTGTTCAATATTCTAGTCAATGTTCTTCAGTTACAGAATGTTGATTAACTGATGCTCTAGACTTATACTTTTGGTATCTTTATCATTTTGAAAGTTCTCTGTCAACTGATCAATTTCTTCTTGTTTTTTGTGTAACTTCTTGTCTTTTGTTGTTCTAAGTAATATTTGGTCCTTTACCATTCCTATTTTCCCTTATTCTGCTATCTATTCATACAAACTTGTTAAATAGGTTACTCACTGTTTTCACATGCTTCTTTTGCCTTCAATGTCCTGTGAGTGTTAAATTATCCAAGCCCTCTTCCTCATTATGTGTCTTAGAAAGTTCAACTGTCTCTTTCTTATTATAGGTTTTCTTGTAGTTTTTACTTTGCTTAAAACTTCCTTGTTGTTCACATGATCTTTCCATAGTATTCTTAGCATTAATCAGTAGATTTACATCTCTGTCATTTCAAGGCTCTTCATCTGTGAGAAAATTGTTTAAAATTCACTGACATTAAAAAAAAACCTTAATGGTTTAAAAAAGGAAGAGTATCCATTTATGAATATGATTTTCATTTAACTAAAAATAAATAAAGAAATAAAGAAAGAAATAGTTGTGTGTCAGCAAGGAAGTGAAAGATCTATCTATCAATACTGTATTATTTTTGATAGAAAAGTCAGGGATTGTTTTGGTACATAATCCTAAATCTTGTTTCATAAAAAATAATTAATTATCTATTACCAGCAGATATTTTCCGTCCTTACATACAATTTTTTTTTTTTTACTGCACATGAGTATTTCTTCATTCATTTAATTTATCCTACTCATTTCTACAAAAATAAAAATGATTGTAAATAATCTTGATAATGTTAAATTACATTCCTAATATAACAGATCTTTTGTCAGAGATTTTATAAACCATTGAAAGAGAGTGGTGGAAATATTTATCACAGAAGCTTCGGTAATCCGTCGAATATACGTTGCACGGATTCCGAATAAGAGAACATGTGCATGTGAGATGAGTATGGTTGTGGGTGCGTCATGACGTCAATTCTGCTGTCCCATAATGCATCTCGGTAGTGCGAAGAAGACATAATGGCCGAAGCAGACATCTGCCTTCTACTCAGTGTTACCCATGGATCGTACATTGTCCAAACGATGTGACCGGTGTTGACAGCTTCTTTATATTCTGGGGGTCTTTATATATATATATATATATTTAAAAAAAAATAATTCTAAGTAGAAGGCGGTGTGTGTCTCTCGGTCGTTTTGTTGATAAGGCTAAGTACGTTAAAATAAAAAAAAAACTAGGCGGCCATAAGTCGCTGCTTTGCAAATACCGAGATTGTCACAACAAACCTCCTTAACGCTTCCAAACAAATTTTATAGAATATTTACGACTGTTGTGAACAGTATATTTAGCTATCAGTTTAGACTACAATTGGTGTTTCCTTTATTTATTTTGTAGAAACTCTTTAGTTTTGTTCGGGAAACGTTAGGATATTACTTACCTATTTATCAGCTTGCGTACGTGTGTTGGAGAAACAAAAGACGTTCAAGAGTCATTGGATCAGCGAATTAATAAAAGAACGGATTATTTCTATACCCACATCAAATTTTGATTGATTTGAGACTCTAAAAAGTCTCATACAAACATAAGAAATTATCTGTCCCCAAAAATCCGCCATGGACCTGGCTTCCGAGTGTAACATTAAAGTCATCTGCCGAGTCAGACCCCTTAACGAAGCTGAGGAACGGGCCGGCAGCAAGTTCATCCTTAAATTCCCAACCGATGATTCCATCTCAATTGCTGTAAGTAGAATTAATTTTTACACATTCCGTCATTATCTGCATCATTTCATATCATTAAAAATAAGTTGCTGTTATAAAGCGAAAAAGAAAAAAAATCATCTACCCAAAAGTCAGTGTAAGGACAATTTGTTTCCTTTATTTTCTCTTTTTTTTTTGTTTTGGAATTATCCAACTGAAAGGTTCTCAATAAAAAAAAAATGGTTACATATTTGAGAGCAGAGAAAAAATGAATTTGAAAAGTCTTAGGAAAATTACAAGGTTTTCTTAATCTCTTTATTTTAGTCTGCATAGGGCATAATAATTAATGAAGAAATTATGCTTTCGTTTAGATTTTATTAAATAAAGAATTCGATTTTTGAAATGTTTTTATTTATCATTGTTTCTACCTAACTATCATTATTGCTACGCATGTTTGTTTTTCCATAAAAATATTCCTGATCGAAAAGAAAGTTGTATTTTAGCTGTCATTGAAAGTAGGTAGACGTTTCTATTTCACTTTAATTTCTATCAACAGTTACCAACTTACCAATGTCATTTTTATGTCTGATGAAATGGTAAAAATGTTATCATGACTCAACGATTTAACTACGATTGATTGGTTATTTGCCACTGAATGAAATAACTTTATTATTTCTTAGAGACAAAATCTAAACTAAAAATCTTATTCTGGCAAGCATTTTCTCGCTTAAACGATATTTTGACAGGATAGGTTCTGTAGTAGCAGTCGTACTAGCATCGACACTATTGCTAGTATGAAGGTTGATGACGGGAGGCTTCTTAACATAATTTATATTTGTTAGCTACAAATGTTTTCTAGTAATATTGTAACTGATGGATTTTAAAGGTTATCTTTTATTTATTGCTGATTTTATGTTTTTTTTCATCGATGTTCTACTATCTGTTTATTAATAACTCTTTGCTGACCATTCTAGAAAAAATAGATCTGGTTTTTGTGCAAGGTGACATGACGTAGTAGTGAGATGGTTTCTGATGCTTTGTCATACATTTTTTAATCTGTTTATTTACCTATAACGATAGGTACATGTTAAAAGCAGTGACCTTCACATTTGCCAGTAAATAGTGTACTGTAATGTTTAATTTAGTATTTTAAATGCATCGCCATCAGTATTTTATTCTAACCCCTCCTCCCAAATGGTAGTTTGAATATGATTAAAAATGTAAAAATCTTTGTAATTTCGATCATCTTGCAGTTTTTCCTACAAAAGCTATAATTTCAGTGTGAGACTTCCGTTGTAAATAATTCAACTATAACAATATTGGAAATATCTCTGCGGTAGAGAAGAGTATAAAATGTCGGCTAGATATTAGTTTGCATTCCGATGAAAGAGTTCACTGCAAAAATATTATTTTTAAATTCTGTAAAAAAACGTAATGCACATTATTCTGCAATTAACTAAATCAGCAAAACAAATGTTGTATATCCTCTACCTGCATCATGACGCAGTAGCTACTAATTGCGATTATTATTTAGTTGTGCTATATCATAGTATACAAATTGTTTTTTTATTTTATAGATTATCATTTAAAATATTCTTGCTAACGTCTTTTGTGTGAAATTTCGTTTCTGGCTCACTAAGTGATTCTAGTTAGTTACAAATTGTTTTTCCCCTAATTATTTAAATTTAATCATTTTTTTACGCTGTTATCTGTATTCTCGTGTCACTTTCAAAGATATTCCTATTGTATTGGGATTCTTTTTTTTCCACACTAAGCAGCTAATTAACATTTTGAAGATTATCCGATTATCATCTTTTCTAATTTACTGAGGAGAGCCCTTTGTATTTAAATCTGTCTTATTTGTTGATATTGTCATGAATGTTAGATTTAAAATTAGAAACGAAAATTTACGATCTTCATTTGTAATTTTCTTGTTTCATGGTTTTTCTAAAATATTTAAGTAATGTTAAACAAATTAAATATTATGAAGTATTTCCTTTAAAATCGCAAAATGTAGACTCTTGATTGAATTTTTATCAATTCGTAACTACTTCGTGAAAATTCAGATAAAGAAACCCAAAAGTGCATTAATTAAAAAAGGTAGAAGTTTTTAAATCCGTTTGGTTTGTTCTATTCATTGTCTACTAAAAAGACAAGGTACTATTGCAAATGAATGTGTAGTACACGTGTGTACATTGGGATCAATTAGTGTTTAGTTTAGAGGTGAGCTTGAGGCTTGGACAACTGGCGTACTGCTTGTTTATTGCCTTCCTCTTTTTTTTGACATCTGTAGCATCTTCTGATTGTATCAGTTGACGTTGTGAGTAATCCACAATAAGCCTCTATCAAATTTTTATTTTGTTTGATGCTGGTTTTACGCTAAAGCACCGACAATCTAAAAATCTCATCAAATTTTTATTGACCTTTTTAACTTTTTTACACTGTACAAAATTCGCTGGAATCATTTTTCCCCAAAAAATAATAATAAAAAAATATTCATCAGTTAGTGAGTCATCAACAATAACACTTCTTGAATCAATATAATTTTTAATATAATTGAAATAAAAAAAATCCTTTTTAATGCAAACACCATCAACACAACATTTTATGGATTCTTTTCGATTCATTTAACTAGTTAGTATTATTGCTGATAATGGGTAAAGAATTAATGTCCTGGCTTAGTGCTTTTTTTTATTATCAGTTTTGCAATAATTATTTTGCGTTTTTGACGCTTAGTTATGTTAATGTAGCTCTTTTTATTTTTCATAATTCAAATTGTTGTTCTTTACTTTATGAGTTAATAAATATTTGTAATTTGGTAATTACTAGTTTCTTTAAAATCTTATTTGTCTAAAAATGCGCAAAATTGTGAGGAAAATAGATGGCCACCATTTTGGTTTTAAATTTAAAGACTATATCGGTGGAGACTGGAGAGATTTCAAATTTATTTTCATCATGAATTGATTGTAGGAACTGATTTTTAAAGTGTCGCATTTGCTAAATTGTGTAATTTCTATTTAGTTAGAGAATGTTGCATTTATTACTTCACAAGTAACATGTTAGCAGTAGCGTTTGCATTTCTAGAACATTAGAAGATCTGTTGATCATCATGTATTGATTTTTAGATCTACCCTGAACAACCGTTCCTCCGCACATTGTGTGTTGTGCAGCGACCCCCACCCCACACGCACACACCTTACCTCATCTTCTCAGCCTGTCTGATGCTGACTACTGCATTCTCATTACTGTTACTTGGGATTTTGGTGCTGCAACACAAACAGAAGATTTCTTTTTCATCAGGTTGTAATGACAAAAAATAGTTTGAGCAATGAATTTTAATTCTCCATTTCCTTTTTATTGTATTAATTTATTAACAAATAATGTATGAATATTTCCGGTTTTTTTATATTCATTCATGTTAATTTTTTTTAAAGCGAATGATAAAATTAAAAAAATCTCTTAAAAATCAAATATCTATGCTACATACAAAGAAAATTAGTAAAATTAAGGATTAATTAACAAAAATGTAAAAAAATGACTTACTGTATGCTTAAAAAAATATAGCGAAAAACACCTTTGATCAGAGCAAGATATATTCTACCTGTCAACAAGTTTATAGATCAAACAGCAGTTACCTCCCACAACAACCACTTTTACAAAAAAAAAATGCCTCAAAATTAATTACATATGAAAGCCCCAGACTAAAAAAAAATGCAGAAACTAGTTTCGTTTAAAAAATAATCATTTTTAACCTTCTATAACCAATAAAGTAGGAATATATTATTCTATAAATAAAATTATTTCTTTATGAAACTTAGAATTTTTTAAATTTTGATAGGAATATAAACGTATTTAAAAAATAAAAAAAAATAATGAAGCAATATTTTTTATTGATTACAGTCTTTTTTTTTATACTCTATTTGGCATTTACTTATTTTTTTTAATTATTTGATATAAATATTTCACTGCACCAATTCAGGTCTTTTTAATATTTTGAGAAAATTTATTAAACAAAAGAAAGTACTGTTATAAATAAAAACAAACTGGGGAAAATTGATAAATACTTAAGGAATTGATACTGTTTATTGATTGATTTCACTTTGCTTTCTTTCAGCTACCAATGTCATAATATATTCTAGATACCTCCAGACATCATGAATAATTATTTTTAACTGTATATAATCAATAGGGAAGTAATTCAGAATTGTTAAATTATTTCATATTTGATCTTCCATACAAAAAATAATTTAATAGTTGATTGATTGTTCTATTTTAATGGTATATCAACTGTCAGTTATTTAATGCTGAAAAATTTTTATTTTTAATTTTGCAGTTGCAAAAATAACAATTAAAATATAATTCTTTTAAAAATATTTGATGTGAAAATGGAATTAAACTTTTACATTTTTTTGATTTTTTTCAAACACCTCTTTAATTTTGTCATCAGCAACCAAAAGAATTTCAAAATTATTCTGAAAAATTACATGTAAATTTTTCAAAAATAAACATTCATTGTAGTTTTTTTTCTGTCAAATTTGAAAGAAAATAACGTGTACATTAAATTATGCAAACATTCTCAGCACTTATTTTTTGAGTTTTATTTTTTGTAAGGTTTCAGGACATTTTCAAGATGTTCAGATTTGATATTGCAAAGATTTTTTCTAAAATATATTTTCAGAGATTTTTATTTATAAAACTATAAAATATTTATCATGTCCTCCCCTCCCAATTTTAAAACTATTCACAATGTATTGAGATGTTGTGTGTGTGGTGGGGTAACTGACTCCAAATATTTCTACCAAGTTTTCTAAGATTAATGAGGTAATTTGAAAATCAAAAATGTAAAGTTGGTGTTTTCATTTTTTTTTTTTTCAAAAGATCATTTTTGTGAAATTAACATTGTCTGCAGTATTTTTTAAAAAAACTTTAGAGACCATTTTATACACTTCTGTACCAAATACAAGTGTCATGACAGTGGGAATTTTTAAACTTGTAAAATATGAGTGCTGGTTCAACTAAAAGTTCTGTTTATGGAACTTTTA